GTGGTACGCGGGGCCTCTCACTGTTGTGGCCTCTCCTGTTGCGGAGCACAGGCTCCGGACACGCAGGCTCAGCGGCCATGGCTCACGGGCCCAGCCGCTCCCCGGCATGTGGGATCTTCCCAGACCAGGGCTCGAACCCGTGTCCCCTGCATCGGCAGGCTGACTCTCAACCACTGCGCCACCAGGGAAGCCCCTGTTTGTGTTTATTTTTAATGTTGGCTTTCCAGTCCTGTCTCCCATGATGCTGTTAATACGGTCTAGATAGACTGGTATGAACCACTGGGCCCATAATCTTAAAAAGATCAGGCAGTTATCTTAAAAGAGGCCAAGGGGCAGATCTCAAAGAGATGGCTACTCTCTGAGGGGAAAAAAAGAACCCCTGTTGCACACTTGAAACCCCTCTGGATAGGCTGCTGTCTGTGTAATTTATACATGACTATGTGTAAGAGGTGGTAAGACATGCCTGGAAGGATAGAAGGGCTCTGGGTTTCGTCTTGATAAACTGGAGTTGGAAACCAGGCATGTAACAGGGCGTAGGGGAGATGAGGGGAAGGCAGGTGAGTAAGCAAGTTCCTACAGGCTGGAAGGTGGCCCAGAACTGATCAGACTGGTTTGAGGAGGGGAAGTGCAACAGTTAGGTGAAAGCCACCCCACCTTAACAGCAGACGAGATTATAAAAACTCAGATTTGGATAAAAAGCAGAAGCAAAGTGAAATTAGAAAAAGAAGCACTTGTTTGGGGGGCGGCTAAGCAAGGAAGGACCTGTTCTGATACCAACTGGATTCAAGACCCTAGACGGGACATGTATACGGTCAGGGAACATGTTTAAGATCCAGGGTGCAAGATTCTGCAACCCAGGTACCTCAAGATGCCAAATGGTTAGAAAGAAGGAAACAAAAATGTCAAGATAATCTGAGTGTCTACGTAGAAAACTCCAAAGAGTCTCCAGGGCATTGGAATGTTCGTGTTCTACCAGGGAGTGCAACACACGCATTCCTCTGCTCCTGGACTCCCCTGTCATCTCTGACTTTTAGCCACTGACCACCCTCTGGGCCCAGACCCACGGTCCCTGAAAGACTGAGTCAGAGGCAAGTTGGCCCTTTTTGACTCTCAACCGGGAAAGGGTTCCTTCTCCTGGTCTTATTCAGAGTTCTTTCTAGTTAAAAAAGTCTGCCATTTTTTGCCATGTATTTCTAGATCCTATGTTGGTAATCAAAAGCTGATAATTCTTTCTCCTTATATATTCCTTCCAAGATTCTAATTCTCTTTGAGGCAAAGTATGTGTCTGGCTAAATGAAGGATAGTTTATAAAGAATTGGAGGAAAAAAAGCATAATATTTTTGACAGTATTATCCCATTATATCAGTTATACTGAATGAATGAAAAAATGAATCAAAGTAGACTCTAGAAAATCAGCACATTGTGAAGTCTAAGTGTGATTTCTAGGACAAACAAAAGCTAGCTAGGCAAAAAAAAGAAAAAAAAGTTGAGACAAGAGTGTTTATGAAGACGAGAGATTGACAAAGGCCAGGGAGGCTGTGGACAGCACAGCACACTTACGGTGTGGTGAGAGTGACGAAAGATGAGGTTGTAGTCGTAGGTTGTGGTCAGATCCTGAAAGACCTTGTAAGCCATGCTAAAGGGATGATGGATTTTATCCTGAGGACAATTGCAAACCACCAATGGCTTTAGGAAAGAAATGACATGTCTCTGGCTACAGTGTGAAGAGAGGATGGGCAGGACCAGGATTGCAGGTGGAGAGAACAATTAGGTTGTTTCAGGAGTCCCGGCCAGAAATGAGGGTGGCCTACAGCCACGCAGTGGCAGAAGGAGGGAAGAGGATGTTGGGTTTCAAAGGATCTGTTCCTTGAAAGGGGTATTTGCAACAAAACAGAGTCCAGGTCTTAGGAGAGTGGGCTAAAAGGTTGGGTCTTTGGTTTGGATCATTTAAGCTTATGTAGACTCCAGATTATATAAGCATGATTTAAAAACAACTGATGCTGTGCTCGCTTCAGCAGCACATATAGTAAAATTGGAACGATACAGAGACGATGAGCATGGCGCCTGCTCAAGGATGACACGCAAATTCGTGAAGCGTTCCATAAAAAAAGATAAGAAAAGAAAAAAAAAGGAGAAAAAAAGCCAGATGCTTTCTTTTAAAAATCAGTTATTTAGGGTGATGGTTATTCTTTTCTCAGTGGAGAATGATAAAAATATCCTCCAAAGATCTGTAATGCCTGTATAAAGAGTCATTCTTCATTTAGTTATCATTGATAAACAAAAATAATCATATTAGCACTCAGACTTTCTTAGAAGATAGAAAAAATTTAATTGAACAACTGTAAAAAAAACTCAGTGCCATTAAGACATATGTACAGCTATCCCTGAATGTCGAAAATAGGTTTTATGGTTAATTCCAATTGCTTTAAGTCAAATCTGTTTTTACCAGTAATTCCATATTATTTACATCTTTTACATGCATAACTGGAATTCACTTATCTGTAAATGTTAGCATTCTGGAATGTCACTCAGGGTCTGAAAGAGTGAACAACTGTGTTGTCATAAAATTCCTGTGCCAAAGATCATGTATGTTTATCCTTGGGAGCCCCCCAGAATCCATTTAGTCTTATGCCAATAACAGTGTTTTTTTTCTCAGCCCAGCACGTGTGTGGAGTGGGAATAAAGAGATACTAGAGGCAGGCAGCAAGAAGAAAGTTAGTAGCTTTTAGGTGGAGAAGGAGGAAAAATGATCTGCAAGGCACAAACACAGTTTTTTTTTCTCACGCTGGAGTCATTAGTATAGGAGAAAACAGCTCTATCCACCTTAGTAACTCAACAGGGCATCCCTCTGTTATAACACCATATGTCAGAATTAATATCTGCATCTGAGGTATTAGTAAAATAAAGGGTAAAATGAGTTTGTTCTGTTTTTTTTTTTAAATCAGAGAGGTGTGTATGCTTGAGAAAGATTTCGTTCCAAAACAGCTTGAATTGTTCAGAAGTTCTAGAAATTGACATACGAGGAATTGCTCTTTGTAGACACTTAGGAAATGAAGTATGGGGCTTCCCTGGTGGCGCAGTGGTTGAGAGTCCGCCTGCCGATGCAGGGGACACGGGTTCGTGCCCCGGTTCGGGAAGATCCCACGTGCCGCGGAGCGGCTGGGCCCGTGAGCCATGGCCGCTGAGCCTGCGTGTCTGGAGCCTGTGCTCTGCAACGGGAGAGGCCACAGCAGTGAGAGGCCCGCATACCGCCAAAAAAAAAAAAAAAAAGAGGGCACAGCCTCTATTCCTAGTTTGCTTGCGGAGGCTATAACAGAGCAGTACAGAATGCAGCTGAAGGAGCATCTTTGGCACAGAGAGGAGTGGGTGGCACAATAGAAATGTGGTGGGTTGACTTTTGTTTGTATCCCTGGTCATTTTCCAAGTACCTATTGGCTCACTGCATAAGACTGTAAAAAGATCTTGATGGACCTACTAGTTCTTGAATTTAAGCTTGTTTTGGTCACACATCGGTAAGAAAAAGACAATACAACAGGGAGGAAAAAAAAAGATGAAAAAGCAGTTCATATATTGGCATATATGAAATATGCCAATAAGCATATGAAAAGATGCTCAGTATACTAGTATTCAGAAAATGCATATTAAAATCAGATCTTTTTGCCCAGTATATTGACAAAAATTAAAAGGATAGATAATATCCAATGTTGGCAAGGATGTGGAGAAAACATGATTTTATTATTGGTGGTAACATTTTTAGATTACTTTTAGAGGGAAGTTTGTGATATCAAACTTTAATATGCTCATATCCTATGACTCAGCCACTATAGTTTTGCAGTCTGTTCTACAGAAATATTTATATGGGTTCTCAAAGGTATATTTACTAGGATATTTTAGCACTTATTTAGAAGTGTTACTGGTAATAGACAAAAAAAAGTGAAACCAACCTACATTTTCATCAGTTAATTTCAGGAGTAATTAAATTAAATTATGATGCATTCTTACAGTGGAATCCTATACAGCCATTAAAAAGAATGAGTTGGGTTTAGATGTACTGACATAGCAAGATTTCTTGGACTAAAGTGGGAAAAAAAGTTGTAGAACAGTTCATATAGCATGATCCCATTTAGGAACAAATACCCATAAAACTTATCAGAGTTTATGTACATATGTGTATGTAAATACATAGAAACAAGTGTGAGAGTATTCCCACCAGGCCATTAACTGTGTTTGGGAAGGAGAGTCGGAGTGTAAATGGTAGGTCAGTATAGCCAGAATTTTAGTTTTTAATTCTAAATATAGCTGAACATCATTTACCCAGAATGGCCTGTATCTGACTTATTCAGGATAAAGCAATATTTCTGGAATTCAAACATCTTAATTATGAAAAATAAATCAATAATAACACCAAGCAAAATAAAAGAAATATGTATTAAACATGTGTCATCGTAAATACAGCAAATTCATTTCACTTATTAATTTTTGCATAGAAAATCAGAATTTGCAATATATACTCCTTTAAAGGGCAGAAAAACATTGGGCAATAATAAAAATAAAAACAGGAAATTTTAATTTGTCAGGAAATGGTTGTTGATCTGCTGAGTTTGGAAACATCAGTGATTATCAGAGGTTGTTTTAGAATTGAGGCGATGGATCAACTGTCTGAAGAACTCTGCCCGGGTCAGTTGTTTGCTCGTGCTACATCTCGTCCCCATTTTCCCTTTTTCCAGAACCTTCCCATAGTAGTAATTGGCCTTTCCTCCTTAGAATGTACACAATATAATACTCTCTTAGAGTATCTTTGGTTTATCAATTACAATTCAACTTGCCTTGCATGAATTGTGCCACTGTGATATCAGCAGTTGCTCATTGTATCCGGTGGCTTAACACCATACCTGTGAATCCTGCAGAGTAGCAAATGTTTCTGTTATTTCAGTAGGGTTATACACTGTATTCAAGTTTACTTGCATAATGAACATTTTTTTAAGTACAAAGGAAAGTTATAAGTATCAGTAAGCTATTGCTGACATATATACTTGGTCAATGCCTATCATGTGATTATGTGTAAATAATCTTATAAACTATATACCTTCTTTTATAATAATTCTTAAACTTGTTCTTTTTCTGATTATTTCCAGGAAATTACTTCACAAAAGATGCCATTAATTCCCATAAAAGTTGCCTGTGTGATCCGAAAAACATCGTTATGTTTGTAGCCCGAGTCCTGGTTGGAGATTTTATTGAAGGACATAAGGCTTACATGAGCCCTCCTCTGCGGTATGACAGCTGTGTGGATACAAGGTTGAATCCCTCTGTTTTTGTCATCTTTCAGAAAGATCAGATTTACCCAGAATATGTGATTGAATATACGGAAATAGACAAAGCCTGCGTGATTAGTTAGAAATGTTGGTTACAGCGTCATAAAGGATGCCATAACCATTCTGTTCACTTATAGAACCAGACTGCCCCAGATAATAGTTAAACTTACATTTCCTCTCCTATAAATGCCTTTGATCAGTGGTTCCCAAATTTTGCTGCATATTTGAATCATCTGGGAAGCTCTAAAACATTCCACTGTTCAGATTTCACCCCATTCCAACTAAATCACTTTTTCTGGGGATGAGAGCCAGGAAGAGGATTGAAATGTGTCATAAAGTTTGGGAATCACTGCCTTAGATGTAACTGGTAAAGGCTCACTTCTAAAACTTCTGTAATTGCAGCAAACTTTCTCTCCCAACTACTCTTTTAGTTTATTGCATGACATGGTTTTGTTTTGGTTAATTTGGGAAATTTGAGAGAAATCTAAAAATGCCTATTGAAATAAAGACATAAGACAGTACAAGCAAATCTTGGATGGAAGATTGTGAAAAGTTGGTGGAAAATTCTTAGGGATACACTGGGCGAAGAAATGTAAGGGCAATTGAAATGCTAGCACGGACATAACTGCAGTATTATACCTTTTTTTGTGGTGAAACTGATTTGGGGGCATGCATTTCTTTATCTCTACGTTTATTTAGGACACTTCATCCAGGTTGACTCTTTCTGAAATTCAATAAAAAAAGCTGCTAAGTGGGGCTCAGAGAGAAGCAACCAACTGGAGTTAACTGCCCATTTGGGCTCTACGAAATTATGGCAAAGTAGACGTTTATATTCTAACTAGTATGATTACAGAGAAGCCTTTTTTCAGGTCAGACTTTCATGAAGTGTTGGTTGGTATTTTTGGGGGACTGAGTTGCAGTAACCAGATTCACACAAGCACGACTGAGAAATCTGAGTGCTGTTGTAGTCGTTCCCTGTGGCAGTTGAGGCTCGTCAAGAAATTAGGAGCAGGGCCATCTGCTGAAGGATGGGCCCCTAAGGAAGTGAGATGAGTTTCCTAGTGAGACAGAATCAGAACGAAGAGAACAGTGTCCCAAACAAGCCTCGCACCTGCTAGGGGCTTCTTTTTCTAAATATGACGGATTGTGTGGAATTGTAGCACAATCAGTTTTTAGAGCAGCTGAGGTGCCTGGACCAAGAGTTCCTTTCTTATTATGAATCAGGGTTTTCCTTCCAATTTTCGTTTTCAACATTGCATATGAGTCGCCAACATTTCCTGTTACAGTTCCTTCCAGCAGGTATGTTATAAAAATTAATTAGCATTAGAGTTGATTTTATATTAGATTTTAGAGCAGTGCAGAGATCTCTACAGCTCCTTGGCTTTAAAGGGCTCCAACAGTAACAAATGTATGAGATATATTTTAGGGTAGGGTTATTTTTTGAGAGGCTTGCCAAAAATATTTTCATTCACTTACTTTTTTCATGGTAGCTTCTGTTTTGGAGTTTTCACTTCCTGATCTTGACCCTCACATTGTAGAGATGCTATTTATCCAACTCTGTCCGACTGCCCACTGGACATCTCTAGTTGGATCTTTCACAGCCATCTCTAATTCAGCATGTCCACAATTGAGCTCTCCATCTGCCTATCTCAAACAAATCAGTTTTCCCCCCAGAAAAGCATCTGCTCCTTTCTTTCCCTCCCCGGCACATCTAAGCAGTTCCCATGTTTTCCTCTTTAAATATCTCTTTGTCGCCTTTTAACTTGTTCTTTGCTTAGCAGCAAGAATTTAAAACTTTTTACTTTCAAAACACAAATCTGATCATGCCTTTAGAATAAAGTTCAAAATCATCATCATGGCTCCACAGGCTCTCTCCCTTCCCTATCCTCTCATTTATTGTCTTTCACAGTCACCCTGGCTTTCTTTCAGTTCTTCGGTGCCGCTTTTAACCTAGCTCGGTGGTTCTCCCCCCCCATTCCTTCCCTTTTTTTTTTTTTTTTTTAATGACAAATGCTTTGTAACATCCTCTTCATTATCCTCAAAATGCAATTCAGTGGTAATATACTCTACCTATAAACAATTTTAGAAGGAAAGTAAAAATTAAATAAAATTAATATCAACATAAAAGGGAATGAAAGGTTCATAACTTGGGCACAACTATACTACAAGACCTCATTAAGTAGTCAGACGTTTACATCTACTTATAAAGAATAAATCTGAACTTAAAAGAAGGTAGGAGATCAGAAGCTATTCTGCATAAAGAAGTATGAGAAAATAAAAAAGCAGGGATACGAGTGGACATTGGAATCAAAACTAGTGATACAGTAACTTATCTGCATATGATAATACTTATTTCTATAAGAGAAAGAACGAAACCACCTTAACTGAAATGAAGATACTATGCAAGAAAATCTAGGGACTTCCCTGGTGGTCCAGTGGTTAGGACTCCGTGCTTCCAATGCAGGGGGCAGTAGTTCGATCTCTGGTTGGGGAACTAAGATCCCACATGCTGTGTGGTGCAGCCAAAAAAATTAAAAAATTAAAAATTAAAAAAAATAATAAAATAAAATAAACTTAAAAAAAGAGAAAATCTACAGATTGTCGAAATGGAGAAAATGAGGAAATAACTATATTCTTGCAGGCGAGCTGTAGGTCATACACGAATGTCTAGTGAGACATTCAAAATTCGTATAGCATGCAGAGTAATTACTTATAGTGAGGAGCTGTCCAACGTATTGCAATATATTCAGCATACTTGGCTCTCACATACTAAATGCCAGTAGCGCCCTCTCCCCCACTGCCGTTACGGTGGCAACCACATACCCTATCAGATCTATTCACCTTTTTCAGAGCAATTTGTAACATCCCCTTTGCCGTCCTGAGATGATTCAGATACTACAATCTACATGAATTTCTTAAGGAATCAATTTACTGCCCTAACTATTATAATGGAGAAACAGAAGGAAAGAAGTTTGTAATAAGGATAAAATGAATATCAATGTGTAAATGCTCCAGCATGACCACGCTATACGACATCATGAAATAGATACCTACTTCTACTTATAGTGAATAGGTTTGGATTTAAGAGTCGATCAGAGGCTATTTCCTGTAAACAAGTACAGGAGAAGGAAAGATTATTAGTATGGGTGACACCAGAATGAAAATCAGTATTAGGGTAAGTCATAACAGACCATATACCTTCTCTGTATGTGGTAAGGGAAAG